GAAGGGAGACAAGGCGGACACAGTGACCAACAAGAAGGGAGACAAGACCGGAGACAAAGGTAGACAGAAGGGAGACAAGGACAGTGACCAACAAGAAGGGAGACAAAGGGAGCAAGGCGGACCTTTTTTTGAAAGCCTTGAGAACCCCTAACAGTAACCTGTTTGGGGAAGTGCAGAAATCACCTTGGAGACAAATGAGTAGAAATGCTGCAGGGCCAGCGGAAGAAGGCGGACACCAGCAGCAGGTAAAGAATTCACTTTTGAGACAAGTGAATAGAAATGCTGCATGGCCAGCGGAAAGGGGCGGACACCAGCACCAGGCACCGAAAGTGGGAGAAAAAGCAAAGAAATCACTTTTGAGGCAAATGAATTGAAATGCTGCATGGCCAGCGGAAAAGGGAGGACACCAGCAGTGACAGAAAGGGCGGACACATCTTAAGAAAGAATTGGGAACCCCTAACAGTAAGCTGTTTGGGGAATGAATGGAAATGTTGCATCGCCAGCGGAAAAGGGCGGGCACCAGAAGTGACAGACCTGGGAGACAAATCAATAGCAATGCTACATGGCCAACGGAAAAGGGCGGACACCAGCAGCGACAGACCTGGGAGACAAATGAATAGAAATGCTACATGGCCAGCGGAAAAGGGCGGACACCAGCAGTGACAGACCTAGGAGACAAATGAAAAGAAATGCTACACGGCCAGCGGAAAATGGCGGACACCAGCAGTGACAGACCTGGGAGACAAATGCATAGAAATGCCACATGGCCAGCGGAAAAGGGGGGCGGACACCACCACTGATAGACCTGGGAGACAAATGAATCGAAATGTTGCATCGCCAGCGGAAAAGGGCGGACACCAATAGAAATGCTACATGGCTAACGGAAAAGCGCGGACACCAGCAGTGACAGACCTGGGAGACAAATGAAAAGAAATGCTACATGGCCAGCGAAAATGGCGGACACCACCACTGACAGACCTGGGAGACAAATGAATCGAAATGCTGCATCGCCAGCCCAAAAGGGCGGACACAAGCAGTGACAGACCTGGGAGACACATGAATAGAAATGCTACATGGCCAACGGAAAAGGGCGGACACCAGCAGTGACAGACTTGGGGGACACATGAATAGAGTTGCTGAACAATTGGACGATATTTAAAACCTCCATCATAAGTTCGCCCCCATCCAATTTTGACTTGAAGAACCAGTCTGACTACTCTGTGGAACCAGGCGTTCCGTGCCAAAACCTTGTAAGTATTGGATTATTTTTCGTAGACCATCCGACTGCTCACGCAACGATCTGCGTTTGTGAGGGCAAGCCAGTGATGCGGATGGGCTCGCTGCCCTTTGTTAACGGTGATCCACGTGGGGAGCTGGAGGCCAGTGTTAACAAACAATAAACGCCAACGGAAGGTCATATCGCGTAATACCCTCACGAACAACATCTGGCAAATTAGTGGAATTAGGATCAGGCCATTGAAGTGAGGCGAAGACTTGGAGAACTAAGTCAGCATACTGATTACCCCACAGACAAGCATCGACCATTTTAGGGTGGACCTCGGGCTGAAACCGGATAGCTGCAGGCAGGGAAGAATACTGTAGTCGTGCTCGGAAGTACTTACTCCAATCATGAGTAGAATCATGGTGAGACAAACCGGCCGCAGATTTGATGGTAAGTTCTTTCTGCTGAACTTGCGCAAGATTAAGATCAATGAGGTATCGGAAAATGGCTCTGGTCTGACGATAATTCGTTGAAATAACGCATCAACATACGGATGATCAGTTTTATGAGCTCGGACGGCTGCAAGGTCAGCCCAGTATTACCTAGGCAACCCAATATTACCTAAGGCATCATTTAAAGAAGGGCCAGGTAAAAATCGATCCAACTCTTGGTGCGACTTGACTTTGCGGAGGACACAGTTGTGAGGGATCCCAAATTGGCAATTTTCTGCAACAAGTCGGCTTAGTTTGGTCAGCGCAGAACTGATTCACCGCCCAAGCCGCACGTCTGGTTTCAGACACCGCGGGACTATCAGCAGACCCGTCGGTGTAAAAGTACAAAGCATTGTCTGCTAAGCAAATGTTTGAATGATCAGTACATTGGCCCCGATATCGCAAATGTCTCCATTTTGGGAAAACTAGGGGGCATTGGCAGCCATAATTTGTTGGGGTTATTTGTCAGGTAGGTGATAGCTTCCGGGTGTTTCGTACGGATGTGCTCAAAGGTCGAACAAGTCAGTTGGCGATGATGGTGTGTATCGATTTCCCCACAGTGGATACATTTGTCGGCACCCAAACCACACATCTGGAGAAAGATGTTTTGCGATTGCATCAAAGCTTTGAATCTAGATCGAGCTTTGTTTTTCGGCCTTTCCCTAGATCGTATTTTGTTGTTAGGACGTTGGGCAGCGGCTCGTACTGCCCGCATTTATATCAACGACGGATGCTGGCTCAGTTGAAACTTCCCCGGAAATCTCTCCTTCCCTATGTTCGTGTGTTTCACCAGCAAGACCTTTCAAAGCTGCCGAGTACGCTCGAGCACGCTAAAGCAGACAAAGGGGGACGTGGAAAGACAAGAAAAATGTGAATGAAGAGGGGTGTCACGGAATTTCCTTTTAAGCGGTGTGGAGAAGAGCAAAGCTTTGTCTTGTGCCTAAAAGAAGAAAGAATGGGAAACACCTGTGCTCAAGTACTTCTGGTCCTGGCAGAGTACTTGGGGGGTGTGAGGGGCAGTAGTTTTTCTTGGGTTGGCTGAAAACACGAGTGTCGTGCCTCTGAAGGTCATCCTCGCGGTGGGAGGATCTTTCTCTGAGAGTCAGTTTAATCATTTTTCTTTGACACACTTCTTGCATGCGCGGATGAGAAACAGTGCGGTGAGTCTTTGACCCACGCACCGTAATTAAAGACGAACCCTCATTGCTCACCGCACTGCTTCTCATCCGCGCATGCAAGAAGTCTGTCAAAGTAAAATGATTTGATTATATAAACTGACTCTCATCCTCTCACCGCGAGGATGACCTTCAGAGGCACGACACTCGTGTTTTCAGCCAAGCCAAGAAAAAACTAGTGCCCCTCACATCCCCCAAGTACTCTGCCAGGACCAGAAGTACTTGAGCACAGGTGTTTCCCTTTCTTTCTTTTTTTAGCCACAAGACAAAGCTTTGCTCTTCTCCACACCGCTTAAGAAGAAATTCCGTGACACCCCTCTTCAAGGGTGGGTGGGAGGGAGCTTCTTAATATATATATATATCTGTCACATTGGACACGGCACGATGAATCCCAAATCAAATCGAGCTGCTTACTGGACGACCAATCTTGATATGCCTTTTGGGCTAGTTGACCGTGCCCGCAAGGTCGAGTCTGCTTGGGCCGCTGCTACTACTCCACAGAATCTTGGCAGGCGCTTTTCAAGTCAGTGAAAAGCGGAGCACTTGCAAGGGGGACTCAACCGAAGGATGAAAAACGCACTACGCTTCTCAGTGGGTCCCAAATACTGTATCCAGAGCCGTTGGATTTCTTCCAAACTTTGTGATTCCCTCCGTGTGTGATAACTTGCCTTGCACAGGATCAAACATTGGTTTTGGCAGGGTGCGAATTCACAGCATATTCGAGTTGAAAATCGTATGTCACCTGTTTGTTTTTTTGCAACAAATTCAAACACCTGGGATCACCTGGGTTGATGTGTTACTTCTTGATAATGGTCCCTGTTTGTGTGTCACTCACAAGCACTGTCAACTGCAAGGGAGTGGACGTTGTGGAAATGTGTGACCATAGCTACTGTGACCCGTGGGATCGGCCCGACTTCCTGGCCGTTATCCCAGTCAACTATACCTGTAGGCGTGCAAAAATACACAGCAAAGAGCATGTTAGGAACGATTAGCCAACCAAGGTTTTGTCTCAAGAGTTATTCCGTACGTCACATCAACCAGGATTTCCTGCCAGGAAATTTAGAGCAATGATAAAATATTGTGCCGCGTTCTCACTCGCGTGGGCCAGAACGGTTATCTTTTTAATACCAGTGGAAGGGCGGGTGGAAAAACATGATGGAACCAAAGGCAGGTGACTGAACTTGGAGCCATGATCTTTAGGGATGATGCTCTCACAAAAAACTGGTTCAATATCTTCATGTTTGGGCGACCGCGCATTGCCACCCCATCGAGAATGCTGGAGAGTTTTACAATCATAATGATGAGTATCGTCCTTTCTAGGGTTCCGCGACGATCACAATTTTTGGTTCTACGCAGTCTACACATGTAGTTTTTCAATCGATTCATGACCTGTCAACTTGCGGGAATTGAAAACTCCTTAGCTGGCAGACATCAGGGGGCCAAGTAAGTCTTACAGCTTTGACCCCAACAACATTCACTTGGACGTGGAAACGCAGGACTCCACCCATTACTATGCGTTTGTTACTACATGTTTTACCACTCATTGGTAGTTCTCTCCGGCTTGTTTCTCTTGGTTCACACCAGTGAAACAGGGGGCGGTGAAACTGCTTCCCAGGATTGCGTTGAAGCAACAGGAACTTCTGCCACCAGAGCATTTGACGCGGAGTTTGATAGTGTCCTGTTGGACCGCTTCGCCACTGGGTTTGAAGTTAGCCCTTGACTTTTAAAGTGTTCAGGGTGTCCTTTCCTGAAAAACAGTACTCGGTTGGTGAAGAAGTGAGTTGTTCTTTCTGACAGATGTTTTTTGGGCAAACCGTTTTTAAAGACTTACATATAGGAGGTTCCAAATGTTGTTTATGGGGTCATGTAAACCCAGCTATGAGGGTCCAATCCCAAATACTTTGTTTTTTTAGCCCGCTCCTACTAAATTAAGTAGGCGCCTACTTAATTAAGTAAGGGATAGTAAGGGTGTAAGCTTCTAGGTAGGACGCAGGATAGGTCACGCTTCTTCAAGGAAGCTCCCCCGCCTGAGGGTGGGAATTTTTAGGGAAACTTAAGGTTTTCTCCACTATGGTCAGGTTCATGTTCATGACAACGGCCTGCGGTGAGATGGGCTAGAAAATTTCCAATGGGGGTTTGGGATTGCTGCAGGTTGTGCCGGAATTGAGTAAACTTACTCGGAAGTGTGGATGGGTCCCCGTTTTAGTAAGAAGCGGCCAAAGAGCACTGTATAAAAGAGGGTGATTGAGTTGCAACATGTTGCAACCAATCGTGCCAGTGGAGTGCGGGCATGTAGGCCCTGATTGATGCTAATTCACCGTGACCATCTAGCTCTTCCAGCTCCTGAAGGAGCATACCTGCAGAGGGAATGTGTCCAACGTTGAAGAAACTGTTGCATGCACTCCTCACGTTCTCCAGGGCGATGGATGTCGGGAGTTCCTGGTTTGCCCTGCGCAGGCAGGGCTTTGGCAGCAGCGCAAGACATTGGAGCTGGTGAAAAAGAACCCCCAAAGTCTCGTACAGTTCCGTCTCCAAAAACATCCACTTGAAAGTAGACTGTCCTTTACAATAGGTAGCCGGAAGGTTACTTATGTTTTTTGATGTATGTATGGTACGTATAGGCAAGGAACTTGGACTCCTGCAAGACTACTGCTCTTCTCAACAGGATTTGTTGCCTGTGGTTGTGACCTTTAGAAATCTGACCATACAGATATGCGGCAAAAAGAAACATGTCACATGTATTTGGTATACAGAAAACTCATTCGGGCACCAAGCGGCTCAAGTTTCACTGGAGTTAGTAGCTTTGCACATGGTGTCGGACAAAATGTACACCTTGGTTGCAGACATAGGACCACCTGACATGTCCTTTTGGAGTTGCAATGGCTCAATCACGAAAATTCAGAGAAGACATGAGAAGACCATGTTTGACTTGTCAACTTTGTTCAACAGCATCGTGCTTTCATGTCCATGATTCTGGCACTTGAACTCGTTAGTGTCAAGCTGTGGGTGGGCTGATATGTTCGTAGCTGTCCAGTCATGCACCCTGGACCGGGAATCCCTGTCCCAAGCTTCCTGACAAGATCAGATTCTCATCAGAAGCTGTAAGTCCACAAACAGTTGTTCAAGCAAATAAGAGAACAGCTTGGATCGCAACGTGTCGCTTGGCCCATCCAAGGTCTTGCCAGAGCTGCTAGTGTTCTACTCTCGCTTGCATGATGGGGAGGACAGGGTTACCGGTGCTCAAAACTGTCATTGTGGGTGTTTTCAGGCATGAGTGACGAGTGACCTAACGATCTAGTGACCCTTAAAGGATGGGTGCCTTGGGGGTTATGTTTTCACCACTCGCTGTGGAATTGGCGACCACCAAAGGACATGGACATGATGTGGCACTACACTACAAAATCACTACTATCATACAAATTAGATCAAGGTAGTCACTTGTGAAAGCCACCACTTCTTGCCGTGCTTTCCCACCAAAAGGGTGCAATTGGAGGATGCCAGAGATATCATGGGACACAGGCGTTTTGCCGCGGCACGCGGCGCGCGAGGAGTCAGAGCTCGGGGTCTCAGAGATGCCTTTCCTGGAGGTGCCCATCTATTGGTCCAACCTTCATCGATCGTTGAACGCCGCCCGTTTTGGGAATTCAGTTTGGAGTCGGAGGGGGCTGGAATTGCCGTAGTGAATCTAGATGAATCTAGGAAGAAGTGTAGTCAAGGAAATCCGAGGCTTAAGGTAGCAGGTTGGCTGGCCTAACCAGTTATACCAGCAGCAGCTGCATTTGGGACTGGTTCCCTATCTTTCTGGTAAAGCTTAAGAAGTTGGATCTTTGGTCAAACCTCCAGAAGCTCCCAAAACCGAACTCTGCCACATCATCCAGGATCGCTCATCGCTTTTCGCTCGAAGTCTCAGGAACCGGGCTTTCGCCGGCAGCTTCGCGTCTCCGCGAAGCTTCAAGAGGTTCTGCAACGGTTGGTGGATGCTTCAGCCACCAACAGGTGCCTGTGATTCTGGTTGCTTGAGAGGTGGCAAACTGCAACATCCATTGGCGTGGTTGGTGGGCATCATTCTTTGAACTTTCTGGTGGTTCGTCGGCATATCAGGGTTCTTACCGGTGCCCTAGTGCCGCAAGGCTTTCCAAACGCCGGCCAGTCCAGTGCACGAGGCATTCTTTTTTGGGCACCAAACCTAGATCTTGGGACAGACGTAGAAAAATGCCTATGTGGGCATGAGATTTCCACCAGCCAGGGCCAACTAAGCTTTTGCTATGCACAGGTGAAGAATCTACGTAGACGTGTCACCTTATGTCGAGTCAAAGCACAACATCGTTCAACAATGGCGTGGCGTGGCTGTTTGCAATTTCTTGGTCAAGAACTGCGGACCTTGTCTTACTGCTACATGCCGATCGGCTACAGACTCCAAGACTTCTAATCAAATCCTAGGTCACCAGTTGCGGGTAAACCCTCAACGAGCTGAGAGTCTACACCATGACCCTTTCAGGCACCAATTCCCTCAAACTTGATTGCATATGACTTTTGAATTTTTTTTGTTTAGTTATACAAAGCAGGTGGATACCATCGCTTGTTTGTTGCATGGTGTGGTCGATGGATCTCAGACTTTTCCAAAGAATTGTCAGGACCGTGATGATGCTGGAGATGAGCAAGTTTTCCTGCACAGTACACAGGTTCACTCAATGAATCTCGAAAAGCATGCCCACCTCTCAAATGATGTTATTATGATACTTTCTGAATGTGTCCGTCAACAAATCCGTCCGGGTATGCCCTGAGCACTACGGGTCGGTTGCCTGCCTGTGCCAGGCACATTGTCTACCGGAGCAGGCGCTGGTGGCCTGCGATGCTATCGTCTTCGCTTTTTTGTTTTTTAATGGCTTTTTGCTCGCCTTTCAATGGCAATAAGCAATCTCTAGGTCACTGCTTGCACACAAGTTCCAAAATATTGCTGAAATTCCTCGGTGCTAGCCAAGATCCCAGGATTCTTCAGCATTCTTGGTTCCTTGGGATACGGCCAATGCAGCAGATGTCAGAATTTGCAGAATTTGTTGATACAGGCGGTGACTTTGATTTAGAAGCAGAAGACCTCAGTAGGATTCAGTAGGCTTTTTGGATGGGGGTTGAATCTATTTGGTAAGATCCCCCTGCAGGTCTCTTCACCTAGCTGCTTTCTTTCTGGCTCCACGATTGACTCAAACTTTTGATTCTTCCCGTGTGGAGTGGGAAGTTGATTGGAGCATGGGGCTGCCAGATGGAAGAGTTGACCTGACTGAGGCTAAGTTCATTTGTATAAATAGATGTTGTACATGAATTAATAGAGGCTCTTTAGGCCTCCTTTCACTTCACTTATATATATATATATAGATGGTCTTTAGAGAGTAAGCAGGTTCGTACACCCCCCTTAGTGCCTTAAGATGGTTTTATAATGTTGAAGACAATGAACAAATTATAGATGGTTGCAGGTTTGGTTCATAAACCTTCACAAGGACTTCAAAATAGATTCCGGGGGTTCATATTTTTGGAGGCCTTTGCAACCCTTTAGTCAATGGATATGTGTTGGGATGCTTAAGCTTTCGTGCTAGGCGCTTCGAAGACTCCCGTCTCTGGCGACGTTATGCACGTGACCTTGGGGCTTTCCAGACTTTTGGAGTTAGACTGAGGGGTGGTTTAAAGGGATGGCCTCCCAATAGTGATGGCCTCCAACCTAAGAGCGATGGCCACCCTAATAGCGAAGGCATTCATGATGGTTTGTTCTTTTCTGAATGTACGAGAACTCAGGGTGATTTATCGACACCACTTCCATGCGAATTGGAGGCTGGTGGACATCAAAAGTCGTGGGTCCATGTGGATAGACTGTTATGTATTTAGCTGTCAATATTTGCTTTCCCTTATTGTGAATCACATGTTTTGCAGGGTGTTGCGATTTGATAAGGTTGAAGCGGTTCCTTGGCCTGCATACAGGTCCATTGTTTGACTGGTCTCAGTTTTTGAGCATCGATTGGTTGTTTTGCCCAAACTAGGGACGAGATGGATGAGAGTGTGCTCTCAGCCAGTAAAGGAACATTCCTAGGTCCTGGGTGTATTGTTTGAATGATGAGTTGGTCATCTTGGCCTTGCAGGGCATCATTGCTGCCTTCCCCACCTTCTTTTGCAGGTACACGGCGCTCACAACGATGTGCCGCCGGCCTCTCTGCAAGAAGACAGTCTTTGCGGACGTTGGAGGAGATTTGAGACGCCCACAAAAACCAAGTGGGTGGACATGTTGGTCTTTGGGGCAAGTGCTGGAACCTCTAGAGTGATTGCTCCCTCATTCCACCACCTCTCTTGGGTGTCCCAATCATAACTGATAATTGGCCTGTCTAGTTCCACTGTAGAAGAATTCACTGGTCAAGGTGCCGAAGGGCCAAGGGGGTACATGTTGCTAAACACATTGTCTTAGATGAACCAGGGGTTTGCGCTTTAGGGCTACGCAGCTGTGGCTACAGTATCGAAACCTTAACCGTCCAACCGGGACCATGGCTCACCCTGGTTTCAGGAGCTTGTGATTTTGCAAATATTGCTTGATCATGCTACTCCATGTATGAGGGAGTGCGGCGCTCTCTCTCCACCTGTCGTGATTCTCAGCAGACTATATCACCTGGATGGGCTAGACAATTGCTGATAGACCCTAACTCGCAGTGGATAAACACGTTGATACTAACCGAAGATCTACGCGGTGCAGGTGAGTCCTCTTTTGGCCCATCTATGTACAAGCCAGGGAGCACCATTCTTGGATGATCACCGGGTGTCGTTTTGCTATTCATGGGTTCAAACGGCTCACCGCGGCTGGGCGAGCATGATGCCAAGTGTGGGTGCTTTTCATCGGTTCAAGAATTGGCCGGTAGGGAGAGACTCTCTTTGCAGGACCCTGCTTTCGACCTCCACTACGACGAGCTCTTGCTATGGTACCTTTGTGCTGACCATGAGGTGCTTTGTTTTGTGACGGTGTACTGGATGTAGACATTGAAGCATGGGTGCCGAACCCCTCAAGCTGGAAATACAAATGACTGGATGCTTTCATTGAGTCTCATGAAGTTCCAGTTCGACATGGTAGTAGAGACAATTGGTGGGTCCAGATTACTAGAGATAATGGTAGAAGCTTTGCTGCTTGTGTGTTTGACTTTTTTGTTCAACTGGGAACCAGTGAGGTAGATGCGAGGACCTCACGAAGTCGACCCGTGGATCTGTAGTTAGTGGTCCGTCCCTGTTTGTCAAGCAACACTGTCCAGGGACAACCCCAGTTCATCCCTAGTAACCAGAAGCTACTAGGGGCTCCTGGCATCGCTACTAGGAGCAAGGCGCTACTAGGGGCTCCTGGCCGTACTTCTAGTGACAAGAAGCTATTGTTTTCCCAAAGACTCTTTGGAACACCAACATTTGTCTACCTACACAGATGACTTGCCCGGTTCGTTTGTGTGCAGCTGCGTTACTTGGTTTATAGAAATACTGTATCCGGCCCGGCCCACTATGTTTATTGGAGTGGAATTATGACCAGATCCAACGTGATCACAGTTTCCTCAAGATTCCAGGTACAAGAGTTGTGGCGGTCTTTGTTGATGAATTTTTGGCAAGTCCTTCGGATCGCATATATCACTGTACAGATCTATACAGTATGTGTTGTTTAGACCAATGGTTGCACATTCAAAGCAATTATATATGATGTATATATATATATATTGGAGCTTTGGATCCATGGTCAAAAGCAAGAGATGAGCGGGTCAAGCTATTTTCCCGAGTCAAGAAGTCCTTTGATCCGTTCATATAGGTCCTCAACTCATAGGTCCTACAGGAACAAAACCGTTCTATCTCCGACATGACGGTGGGTCAGATCAAGACCAACCACCCAGTTGGATCAACCTGGCCAAATGGATGATGATGATCTATTTTGTTGGTCGATTTGCGTTTGACCGGAATCCAGATGAACTGCCGGGTCAACCTCCGCGACATGTCGCAAGGAAGACCTTGATTCAGGGTTTTGACTTTGGCCATCAAGGGGACTGATAGCGAGCTTTGCTCCATGGGCCATTTTGGTGCTGTATAGGATTATCAGATTCAAGGGATTCTGCCCCACTCATGTTGCCTGATCCCAATTGATCCCTAATCATCCCTCATCAATCTCAGCCATGTGTCAGTCTTTTGTGCTGGGCTAAACGGAGAGGAAGTTTAGGGCTTTCAGCTTACCTTCCAGTCTTCATCCAACATGTCTCGAAAGAGCCAGCGACTCAGCGACGTATCGGACCAGATTCCCCCTCGCCCTATGATCCTATGTGAATAGGAATCGAGCATAATCTAACCACTTCCACTTCATATTACAAGGGATGTTTGTGACAGTTGCTTTTGTTCCTCGACATCATTTTGCTGTTGGAATGGCACCTTTGTTGAGACCGGTTCGTCCCGTCCATGGCACTTTTGGATCCACAAAGACCCTCGACCCAAAGGCACAGCAAGTATGCTGCCACTCACAACGTTGGGCAGGAAGCAGCGGAGGCTTGCGAGGGCAGTGGTGGGCTTAGAGTGCAGTTTGTGGAAAAGCCACTGGATGGAGAACACACTTTTGGGGGGATCCTGCAGGTGGCATTCAGCTGTATATTACCTGGCTCTTGAAGGGCAGAATCAAGCATAAACACAAGTATCCTCAAGTTTGTTTTTGGATTTTGGGCAAAGCTGCCTTCTAGTTGAGGCAACTTTGTCGTCTTTGTCCGGGGTTTTAAGTACCCGTTGACCCTTTGGTCATCTTCGTGAACCAGCCCACTGCATTTTCCTCCCTATGGAATAGGATCAACTCGGATCAACCCTTTTATTGCCTCATAACTGGGCATATTGGGGGTTCTTAGAGCAGTGCCCAAGACATGGGATGTGTCATGTGCGTAGCTTTATGTTTTTGCAGTAGTCAACGGGAGTTCCTGCACAATTTTGGACCGTGCAGAGCTTAAATATCCTGTACGTTTTGTGGAGAAGTCCTGACACGAACGACAAGGATGTTGATACTGAAAGCTTTCTTCAGGCTGCCGATGTGTTGATTGCACAGCTGAGTACCAGGACAGCTTGTGTTACCTACTGCACCGAAACTTCCTGCTCCTAGTAGTTTCTTGTTACTAGTAGTAAGGCCAGGAGCCCCTATAGTAGCTTCTTGCTCCTAGTAGCGATGCCAGGAGCTCCTAGTAGCTTCTTGTTACCATGGAAATACAAGTTGCACAGGATCCCCATTGCTAATTGGAATGCGACTGAAGCAGCCACAGCCATGCTTGAGTGCCATCGCATCAGTGGAGCATAGTGCTGGAATTGTCAAGTTGAGCAGTTATTGATTGTTTTTTGAGTGGGACACGGGAGTTCACTCACCAAGTTTCTTCCTGGATGTGCTTTAGCCAAACAACATCTCATAGTTGGAGCTTCAACCCGCCCCCGAAAAACGGCTCTTCAGTCTGATGTGAACCTGGTGCACCTGGTGAATCTCCAACCTCACGATACCGGTCTCAATCTGCTTTGTCCAAGCGACCTCCAGCTCTTCCGAGCTGCGCAGCGACGATCTCCACCACCAAGGCTTTCTCTCTTCGCCGCGGCGACGGAGAGCTGGGCCACTTGGCGGTTGGACAGAGGGACATGAAGGGACGGAATACAGAGGTTTTGGGGTCTTGGGAATTTCAGCACCACCACTGGACACTTGGTGGAGAAGTGGGTGTTTGCTCGTTTTGTGTGCATGTATGTGGAGGCCATCGCTACCTCCAAAAGAAGCCGACTTTGAGCCATCAGCATTCACTGCTGTTGCCTAAGTCGTGCCTGAGGGGTGAGTCACAATAGGCAATGATCATGACAATTGTGATCGTTCAGAGTAAAGTTTTGATCTTTTGATCTCTTGTTCCAAAGTATGTTTGGATGACAGCAACATGACAAGGCCTTCTCAAAGAACGGACCTGATACCTTGAGGATTTCAACACAATGAGCAAACATTTCTGGGTGGCTCAGACAAAATCCCATGGCGGCTGGGCTTGAAAGGTGTTTAATATATTTTAACTTCTCAGATTTTGGTTAGTTTCCTTACAGCTATGTAATGATAAATACTGATGGATCCACTTTTTAAAGCATGACTTGAGAGTAGCTTCCTTGTTAATGCAAATTAACTTACACTTATATATTGCCTTATTGCTGTATATAGTTATTATGTTTCTGTGTCTCCAATATCTCCAATGATACTGTAAGATGTGATCATAAGTAATTGTTTTTTTTTCAATAGGTCAGGATGTTTTTGTTCACGGAACTCCCGAAAAATGACTCGGAAAGAACACTCAGGATTCGCCTCAGTGAGCACTTGCCCGGAGGCGTCTTTTGCGTTTTTGGCGCCCATGGCGGCCGCGGCGCTTGCGTGGGGGAAGTTTGGCCTGGAGAAAAAGCGGACCTAGGTGAAAGAAACTCGCTTGACCTGGCGTTACGTGATGTTACGTGGATAGTTGTTGTTAGGCCTTTTTCTCAGCACCAAAGGAACCTCCAGGGTTGGTTGGAATTTGCACATGTCGCATATTAGTTCATCAAATGCCACTGGCACAACGCTAGCGGCCAGCGAAACAGAACAATACTGACATTCTCCAGTGGATGAACACTTGTCCATTGCAGGACCTAAGTCTCGCAAGTCTGATGAGACATGGGACCCAAGTGCGATCCCTGAACATCCCATTGACTCACCCAAACAACGGGTGCCCATGTCCATTCAATTTCTTGTGTTTTGCCACCACAGGCTATCCTGCATGGTGGACAACCCTGGTTGACGGGTTATACGGTACACGGGAGTTTATCCCATAGTTCGTTTCAGCAGACTATTGATAATATTTTTACCTGGTCCATATGTGGTGTATGTTCCGTCTTACCACCCAAGAACTGCTTACCACTCACGGGCCCATTAGTGACGACACCGTCACTCCCGAGGCATGGAGAAGCATCACCAGTTGATCGTCCTGCTTTGCCGAGCCTCGTGCAGCGATGTGCTCGGACGCCTAAGGTGGCGGAAGCATGTAACAATATAGAACCAGGATGGCCACTCCCCACAACCTAAGGCGGTGGATCCAGGTTATTGCAGTTTTGAGTTAGGTTGGTAGGATCTGGAAGATGGGAATGTTGCTAGCTTCTTGTGGAGTAGCAACCATCAGATTCGGATTCTCCCAAGATTTATATTATATATATGTAGAGGAGTAGTTGTGATGGACACCTCTCCTTCCAACCTTGTTACTGTGAAACCCTTGTGATGCTTTGAGAGGTTATATACAGCAGCCTTTGTGGTGACCAACCGGTCCAGAAACCGGCAAATATATACAGGCAAATTGTTTGTCCAATAAACTTCAAGCGGCTAAAGCCCCTAGCGGCCCAGCACTTTTTGCCACCCTTAGCGGCCCATAGTAGCCCTTAGCCTATGTCCTTTGAACTGCGGTGCCACCAAAGGGAACGAGGGGCAGCCCACCTGTAGATGACAACAATCCAATACAATCCATAACCAGCTTGAATGAGTTTCATTTTGTTTCATCCGCACGATTGGTCCCATGTATACACGAGCTAGGACTGCCTTGGCCTGGTCATGAGTATCATCAACTCGCCCGTCCCGACTGACGCGAACCTCTCAATCGAGGCACCACAGCGACCAAAGCGCCGACCTGGCAGCGGTGCAGTCCGCTCGAACAGTGGTTGCCCTGGTGCAGTTTGGGCGGAGCTCACGGAGCTCGGAGACTGGTCGCCATCGTTGTGCTTGACCGGAGATTGCAAATAATAGGGACTTATTTATCTTATTTGCTTGGATTTGAATATATATGTTGAATCCAGTGGAAATTATGACAGGCATCGGTATCGTCAGCTACTTGAGTTCAATTAGCTTAGCATGCTTTAGTTTGGGGGGAATCCTCCCACGAGCTCTGATTTTGGGGTCACAAGTGGCGATTCTTCATTTGAGCTGAAAAGATAGCCCGGTCTTATGTATTAAGTTTTAAGTAAGGAACGTTCCCAGGGACTCAGGAATCGCCTGGCCACTGCTTGGAATTCCGGTGTCCAAATTGGATATACTCCTTGTCGCGAATCTTGTCGTGCTAGCAAAACGCAGCATTGAACTAGACTCTAGACTTGTGCTAGGGTTGGCACTAATCGCCGCTAAGTCGCTGCTGCAGATCGTGTGCCTACGTAGGGAGCATAAGCACATGGTGGCTCGACTGAATTGTGCAGATGTACCCAAGAGGATGCTTCTACTGTTTTCTGATTGCTCATGTATGGAGAGACAATTTCAAAATCAGCAAGCCAAGCCCGGCCCGGACCGTGAGCTCTGGCCCCTTGGTGGCCTGGGCCACTGGTGAAGGGGTGCGCTAGACCCGCGCAAGATTACTTTGCAACGTTGACCACTTGCCCACATGCTTTCCAGGGACTACAAGTTGCTACACGACAGACATCGACATACACTGCAGAATACATACATCTGGAAAAACATGAGCAGTTTGACACTGTAAACAATGCTGCTAGTTAGAAAAGGGTATGCACAACATACAGCCATTTGCAGTAATGCACCATTTTCCATGAGCACCTGTTGTTTGCGTGAGAGCCACCTCTTGGAATTGCTATGATTTGTAGCTGGGACAATGATTCTTGAACGGTTGAGCTTTTTCAGCTCAACTGGTATGTTTAAGTTTTCCTTCAATTGTGTGGTTTGATCCGATTGGATTGTTTTCAAGTTTTCAGCTGGTCGTACCTCTCTACTAGCTCTTCACCCAATTCATTCTTACTCATCCTCCTCTCTCTTGCATGCCTGTTCCCACTCATGCTCATCCCGCGACTGCACCTCAATGAGTACACAATGGGCAGTAGTGATGATCCTACCAACCTACCAACCAACGGGATTGCCAGGCCACATGGGCAGTGGTCAGGTGCTCCAAAGCTAATACAAAGTGCATTCCATGTGGCTGCGCTTTCACATACCTGGGGACAACAAACGGTTGCACTCAGCAAACTAGCTGCAATTGTTTGGAACGATACCGACATACACTCAGCCCTGATTGCAGTCAGCGGCACTATACGGGTGTGCGGTGTGCAACATCACCTGATAAAAAGACGGATGAAAAAGAATCACGGAATCCAGCCACTAGGAGCAAGAACGCTACTAGGAGCAAAGGGCATCGCTACTAGGAGCAAGGACGCAACTAGGGTCTCCTGGCCGTACTACTAGGAGCAAGGACGCTTACTGTAGTTCACACCGACAGTATGCTGAGGCCACCCGTTTGAGGACGTATGACATGACATATGCGTATGTCACACCATGTGAACCAGTTTGGTTGACGAGGCAGCGTTGAACAATTTGAGAACAGCAATATCACGCACCAGCTAAAATATTCTAGTTCGCATTTGGGATCCTGGAGTCAACTTGCAGTAATAATGAATGATTCCAAAGTCTGATTGTCACCACTGCACCTACGCTCAATAAGGATCAATGATGATCCAAGCAGATACCGAACCGTAACCAAGCATTTGCAATACAACGCAAACATTCAGGTACTTAGCTGGTCCTCGCATGAAAGGCCAAACATTCAGTCAAGTCCACCGGCACCATGCGCGTATGCAGAGCAGACCAATTCTCCCACGGGCAGATGATTTGTCAAAACACTTTCTCCAGTGTATATATCTCAAGTCAAACATGGATCACCTTTCGGTTTCGCAAAGATCTTCCAGTTCAACTATACCTCATTGGCCCCTCTGTGGAGGGTTGTGTTCTTTTCTTGCGCAACAGGCATCGTTTGTCAGCAGGCCAACATATTTCCAACATTCTCGAAAGACAACATCTCAAATAAATAAGGCTTTTTTGGTTGACTTTACAGGTGCTGGATAATTGTAGTGTTTATCTTTGATTGTTGGATCAAAATCCCAGCTCCATCAGTAGCTCCATCGTACGCACAGTGATTCCTGAGTGGCAGAGTGAACAAGGGACGCCCTGGGCCCGTGTTTTCAGCCCAGGTTCGTTGAGTTTCCACAAACCCGACCCTTCCCCCTACGGTAGCCCAGGACATCCCCTACAAAGGGGATTTTGAAGAGTAGGCTACGATTGACAGAAGGAAGAAACAACATGACATGGGTAAGTATAAAGTACGGTACTGTGTACCAGTTGAATCTGTTTGACCTGACACCTTTATGGCCTTTCATCGACAAACGCACGGAACCCATCAGGCACCAAGCGTTGCTATTATGTCATTGTCAATTATTTGCGATCACAGGGGTCCTCCTGACATGGCCCACTACTGAGGCCGGAAAGGATGCCGTGGTGGCCTCGGCAAGGGAAGGTGCGCATCGATTGCATCGGCGGAGCCATGTCGTTCAGAGGACATGGTGACTCAAAAATACTCAAAATGTATATACACAGAGCCGTTTCGCTTGGTATGCTTGTCCTAAAAGACCATTGCTTGGGTTCACCGCTGGAGTTTGGAGTATGATCCACAGTTCGGGCTCGCAAGGCCGCAGGGACTTTGTTTTCTTCCAAGAGGACCAGATCTACCCAGAGCCGCTTGCTGCGCATCTGGCAGGGCCGCATCCGAAAGAAGAAGCAGACTGCACTCCACTACACTCCTGTGGTACACTCGTTGCATCAAACACATTGACGTGAACATCCACTATAGTCCACTGATAGGCTGATAGGCCGTAAGTTCTTGAATCTTCTCAAGCTATATAATTGTAATACGGCGAGCTTCTTGAGTAGAGGCTGGATGAAGTCTACTTGATCCTTTGCACCCACGCCGATGACACATGGTGGGATCGGGACCCTCTAACAAAGGTGATTTTCCCATCACAATCTTGCAGCCAACACCAAGAGAAAAGGACAGTAAAGGAGCAGGAAACCAAATTGAATTCCGTTGGGAGTACTGGAAAGCCCATTTTTGAGTCCATTTCAGCATGTGCAAAGACCATCCACCCTTGGCGAGTCCTACTGAGGTTCCTGCTGGAGTTGAAGGACACTGAATGAGTTGATACAGTACCTGCAAAGTAGGCTGCTGTGAGGGACCAATTGATTCTTAACCTTTTTGACCTGCAGCGGTCCAAAGAACTGGTGACCCGATGCGCCGGGGACTGGCAGAGTCCGATTCCCCATGATTCCCGCAGCTCGAATTCAATCCCTCTAATCTAAGTTGGGTTGATTGGATTATAGATGATTATAGCAGCATTGCAGCAATATATAGCAATTGTAGCAAGAACCAAACTTCATATATATTATAGAGTTCATATATGAGTTCATTAAGATAAAAATAGATGTAAATGGGCGTACACAAACTCACATACTTGACACATAGTTTGACAATCCTCAAGCAATTTGAGACGCATCATCTGTTTGACTCAGTGCTTGGAACGGCGAGTCGGCTGGTGATATTGGGAGCATCGATCTTCACAACACCTTAGAAGACCAGTTGTTTTGGTTCTTTTGCCAAGGAGCAATTTTCTTCTGTAACTCTTTTATACTCAATTTGGGTCAGAGAGGACAAGTGAAACCCGTTGAACTTATTCTTTGCACGGAACAGTTGCTCAGCCTGGTCATTGGTCACTAGATGACTACCTGCAGTTCCTAGCTTTGCTTAGCAGGGCTGCTGCCCAACAACCTGCTGCCAAAGCAAAAAGCCGGACAGTGTTGTGAGTTTCTAGCGAACCCAGTGGATTCTGCTACACAATCTAGCTCCATGTTTGGTCATGCTTGGCTCGTGGTGCCCAATAGGGATGCTTTTGTGATTTTTTGCCTGAGGAAGGGGAATTTGTGTTTAAAACTGTCCGCATGTAAGTATGCAGTATGGCATCATATGGCATCGTAGTACTAGCTAGTGGAGTGTGGCTCACAACAGTGTCCAGTACACGGATCCTTGCATACTTAGTCTCTGTTGGATTTGTCCTGGATCCTTTGCGAGAACAGGTGCAGCAAGATTCTTGTAATGTTGTTCATAACATTTTGCATATCTATATACTTATGTTTGCACAATGAGTTCTTTAAAGGTATTCGTACCGGCCATACAAAAAGAGAATTACCAGGTGATAAGAAGTCTGAGTCTACAATATAATGCAATAATAATGGGTTTCGGTTCGGATCTTCTTCGGCCAGCGGCGTCTCATCTGCCCATGTTTGTTTCCGCTTGTTTTCCTGCGCAGGCATGCTGCGCGTTCGGTGGCATGGCGCCCACAACCATTCGAGCCATGCAATTGGAGGCTCCCAATACGCCGGTGTGTTTTTCAAGGATGCAACTAAGGTGGGAAGCTATGGATATATTATATAATGTTGAACACTTCTGGTTGGATTCAGAGGAACACTCATGGAACAGCTGGTGTGAACTGCACAGAAAGGCCTACAGTCATGCTATAATATAGGTGCCCACAAGTTGTGGCCACTAGATGGGCAAAGGCAGGATCCAAGGGTCTTGTGTTATAGGATCTAATGGGCATTGGTGTTGTGACGGCACCAGGCTTCCACCTGTAGAGCTTTATTCACAACCACCAGTTGGCAGTGCCTCTATATAGATTCTATATCAACATAAATTGACTATGTTGTGGAGCTTGAAGATTTTCAACTGACTATGTTGTCTATCAGCCCATGTCCATCTCACAGAAAGCAGCGTGGCACCATGTAAACTTACTTAACTTACTTCAAGTATACCATGCATGGTCTGCAATGATATGCAATGTATAGATTCATAGGGTGTGGCCAAACGAAGATATTGGTCTCGGTATTGCTCGATGATTTGATCCTTCGAGGTTGTTTCATATTTTTTTTGTGTGTGTGTGTGTCGCTTGCTTTACCTCAAAGGATGTGAGACGCCTCTTCATGTTAGAAGACGCCTTTTACCGCCTTTGAAGAATGGAACGTGGGCGGCCAATTTTGTCCTGCCGATCCAAACTCCCACCGTGTTTTCTGACATTTGTGCCTTTTCCTGGGACGAGTGCAAGCCGAAGAGGCTGAACTGGTGCTGTAACTCCCCTTCTACTTGTATGGTTTTGCAAGAAATAGTCACGCATTATTCATTACAGTATCTATTGATATGTATGCGCATGGTGCTCCTGACAGTCCTTGCGACACCCAGCCTGAAGCTCCCTCACCTAGGCGGCAAACAATGTTCACGTGTTTGCTTTCAAGGAGTACCTCCACTGTAAATATTGTTTGCAATAACAAGGACGCTACTAGGGGCTCCTGGCATCGCTACTAGGAGCAAGAACGCTAGGAGGTACTACTAGGAGCAAGTAGCTACTAGTAACAAAAAGCTATATAATTATGTTGCAATGGTTGACTGGGGAGGATCGGACACTCCGTGCTTGCACTTTCCTACCGCTGGCTGGGCCAGTTTCTTTGCTCACATTTACTCCACGATAAACTTAGTGCATTTTCTCAGGGGTCCCCACCATTGTTGCACTAAACCACTAAACTAACAACCTCCAGGAACAGAACACAGCGTCTATTTGGGAATGAAACAACAACTCCGCCAAGCCGGGAATGTGACCAAATCCAGAAACAACAACTGCGCGAACAGAAGTCAACAACATTCTGGAAACAAGCCACTTGCAGACCGTATGTTAAAGCTGAAGCAGGCCTCGTAATGTCAGTCAAATCCAGAAAGCTGCTGTCTTGCCAAGGTCAGTCATGGCATGTCAAAGGCACAAAGTCATGTGAACTTTCAAACAACCCAGCTAGTGTCCATGACATTGTCAGCAATCACTGTATTCGCCCTCCATTGAAAAATGATAGCCCCTATTGCCGAGGAATGTCGTCTTCCAAGGGCCATGCGATCCACTTCCTGGTTGCATTGTCAGGTATCATTTCCCCAACCACCAGTGCAAGGAGTCTGAAAACGTGTCACTGGCCAGTGGCCTCATATCCCCAGACCATCAGATCGAAAGCGAATGCACTTCGAAGCAGCTCAAAGCAGGATAGACTCTTCAGCGCAATATTGCCAAACACAGCTCTATTAGGGGCTGGCTTCGAGATGGTACTCGTATTTTACAAAGCATCATATGGCTGAGTGCATTGCTGCATATGAATATGGATATGATATATAATATACATAAATATTCCGGATGATGGAAGTCTACTGACACCCAGAGGTCATGGAATATCCACACAGTTTTCCCGTACTGGACCCTCGTTGAGGGGCCTGTCGCAAGCACCGGCGAAATTGAGATCCAGTACCCATTCCTTGGTGGTCATGCGCTAGTTATAAGAAGCGATTGGGGGACGAGTATGCAAGCTTCCCAGCTTGCTCCTGCACCCAACAATTAGTCCCCTTGCTTTGGACAACTATGCTCTTATAGACCCACTGAAACTCGGACTCCAAAGAAGATTTTGACGCTTGAGGCTGCTCTGCGAGGCAAGGACTGGAACAAGGCCTGGAGACTGAAACACAGAGCTTCGTGTCGGAGGTTACTGTGAACATTTTGTATGCCTCTCCAGGGGCCTCCAGGGGTCTTTTCAAATGGGATTCCACCAAACCAAGGCCCTGAAGGCCCTCGTCGAATCTGGACTAGATGGATCGCGTTTGACTCGGGCATCGACCAGGACACCCTGGAAACAGCACAAGATGTCCTTGCAGAGGAGTGGGAGCACCGTCGGGACTGATCTCTGGGAGTACACAGCAGTGCGGGAATTGGTTCTTATGTAGTAAGTAACAAGTGCATCGCTACTTGTAACAAGTGGGGCATTACTACTAGTAGCAAAAAGCTACTAGTAGCAGGTTGAATTGGTTTAAGTCCCGACAAGTGACTCGTGGCCAATCCAATCACTACAACTCCCTGCATAGAAACCTGTTAGATCTGTTAGCCTTGGCAGAAGGGTACAAAAGACGCCCTTGTTACCTATACAAAAGAACTGAGCGGCCTCCTGTACTGCAAGGGTGTCATATTGATTGGCAATTGAAACATTGGATTTAAGCTTTGCCATGTAGATTTTGGCGGTTCAGAGGTACCACGCTGGTCATCCGAACCAAGCTGAAAGTACTCACGGATGAGCCGTCTTCGGAACCAAAGCTCAAGAACCTTTTTGGGTGATTTGCGGACAATTTTGTTTCCTGCAGGGGGTGGTCCATGTTGCGCACCAGTGTCATGCCCCTCAAAGGATCCTTTTGCCCTTTGATGCGTAGAAGGGCAAGCCACGCGACCGAAAAGCTAATTGCTGCAAGAGAAGTAGCCTGAAGGTCGAGTGATGTCGTGTGAAGCCGTGTCAGCAGGATAGTGAATGTAATAGGTACATACTTTCGGTATGGATCAAATACTGCATTGTTCTTCTTAGGGCATACGAAGAACAGCCCAGTCTATAGCACTTGACATTGTTGGGCTTGGGATTTGATCAATCAAGCAATGGGAAAGTGATCTCATTGTGAAATTTTGGATTTTCTGCAAAACGTCTCACATACTTTGCCAGAGTTTGCATGGTTACTGCACGAAATGGTTGGTGTGCAAGTCCATAGTAAACGCCTGATATAGAAGACTTGAACTAAACAGAAACATGAGCTGGGGATACTGATTTCATGAAGGACACCTGTCAGGAAACCTGTCAGTGATTAAGTTTGGTCAGCCGGTTGTTGTGAGTTGTTGCGGCCAGGCAGTTGTCCATTTTTCCGCAAGAATTGAATGACATGCAGGAGCTGTCATTGCCTGACACCGTGCCCGGAGGGATGGCAGCCTACCGGCAGACCTTAGCCTTGTCCGGTGTCCCACGATGCCCGTGGTGAATCTTCCAGAGTTTCGTGCAATCGAAGGTTTTGGGGGATTCTGAATATCCTGCATAGCCTGCAATGAAACATTTTGCTATTGACATGTGCTACAATATATATATATATATATTATGTTGGTGCATTGCCTCATTGCCTTCTTGTATTATTCAATTAAGTCAGCTGAAGAAACAGATAGATTCCAACATGTGGTTATCCACCATCACAACCACAAGCCACCCTGGACTAGCTGTATGTCCATTACCCACAAACTATCATGGGGTTGGGTTGG